AAAAAAAAAGTAAAGAAACTATCGTTAAACGACACCCGTGCCGCGTGCGTCCGCGCCGTTGCGATGACACTGTTCGTTCGTGGTCCGCTCCGTTGTGAAACCGCAACGGTTGCGGCTGCGCGTGTGCCGGACGCGTACGGCAAACCCGACCGGCGATAACAGCAGTGAGAAGTTTCGACGCGCGCCCCCCGAGAGAATATGAAAAAAAAAAAAAAACAAACAAACAATCAAACGGAAAAAAAAAATAAAATAAAAACCACGCGGCATTCGAGCCGTTGACCCCGCGAAACGCGTCCAATCAAAACGAGACCCGCCGTACGAACCCGAACGCCGTCGCGTCCGGTCGAAACGCATTACGGTCCCGTTCGGACAGCCCGCCGAGACGCTTCCGACACGCGCGGCCGACGCTCACGCCCCGGAGCCGTGGGACAGCCGAGAGCCGTCGATTTCGCGACGTTTCCGTCGCCGTCCCCCGACCGGCGCGGTTGCGGACGCGGCGAGTCGGCGGGTCCGGGTTCCCGACGATACGAAAATGGATAAACGCGGCGGCACAGCTGACGGAAACAACCCGAAACAATTAATAATGACGTTCGATAGTTGTCGCGACGGTCGCGGATGTCGACGGGGGCGATTTTACGATTGCCGCAACGCCGTTCTCGCGATATGCCCACTTTGGTTATCATTACCGTGACCGCGTACCGGCCCGTTCGCTGCACGATAAAAATATTTCCCCGCGGGTGGGGCGTGCGCGTGTGCGTGTGATACGGACACCGGGCCTGTTCCGCGTTTCGGGAATAAAATCGTAAATCGTCGCCCGTACCGACGCCGTGCGTTAAACACATACGCACACACACACACACACGCAAACTGAAAACAATCAGATCCGATTTCCGGCGACGGATCGTTGACCGCCGACACCGCAAACGAGACCGGACAAGGGACACGCGTACCTCCTGATAAAAACGCGAAAACAACAATGTTAATCGCTGGCGATCGTGCGTTCGATACGAATCAATAACACGCGATACCGGTACAATAACAATCACTCGACATCCTACACCTGCGCACTGCTACTCGAGTGTCGCGCGTTCATTTGATTCGGCTCGAAATCCCGGGAGTGAGGTGGGATGGGTGGGGGGGGAGAGGCGCGATAATTTGTTTAGATTTTTACACCGTGAACAACCGCGACGCGCGCGCGCGCGTGAAACGTCCGACGGAAAAAAAATAAGTGGCGCGGCCGACTCGGATATTTTCAGTGGCGGCGCGTAGTTTTTTCGCCCCGACATCGGCGTGCCTCCTGTGCGGCGCGAACCCGCCGCTCGTCCGTTTCGTCAGGACGTCTGTCGATTAGGTACCGCCACCCCCGTCACCGCACGAACAATAATAATCCCGAAAAACCGTATCCCGGTACGAAATATTACACGCAAACCGTACGCGTTTTACCCCCGACACGTTACAGGCAACACCCCCTGGGCCGTGGTGTTTTTTTCTCGATATAATACCGACGATTTTTTTTTAATTTCTAGACGAGATCGCAGTATTGAATTGTTTTGTCGTTACTGTCACGTTTGTGTCTAGAAAACTTGTGTAACTCGATTTCCGATCTACACGAATTACCGCTGGCCGCGCGATCCCTGCGCAGTAGCGCTCAACCGTACGAAAAAAAAAAAAAAAACTATAGAACTGTCTCCGATAAAAACCTGAAGATTTTTCGTTGTTAAAAACTGTTGTTGAGAATACTTAGATTATATACATTGTTATACGCGTTACGCAGCCGGCTGTATACATTTGTCATCATGTGATATCATTTTAATATTGTATCACCGACGTTACTACGATATTTAGTGTTTTTGAGATTAGCGATATGAAAATATTATAATAGTGGCCGGCACTAAAAAAAAAAAAACGGTATTGTCTGAGATTTGGTGCTTATACTTGTAAAAAATAAAAATGTTTTTTTTTTTTTTTGATATTATACGACAAATGTTTTATTAGTTTAAAAATTGCGTTCGTTTAAATACATACATATACATATACATATATATATACACACACATGTTAGAACCGATGTATCGGCAATGTCCGCGTAGTCTAATTATTTTTCGGGCGACCCGTCGTTTAATAACGTTCGATCGACGTGCGATATAACGTTTTTGACGGCGTCGTGTTATCGGACGTTCTTACGCGGCGCTGTCCGGAGATATTATTGTGGAAAAAAAAAAAAAAACGAACGACTTAATGAAAATTATATTATTATTATTATTATTATTATTGTACACTGTCTGTTATATTTATATAGAAATGTTTAATTTGTTACGAAACGTTTTAACAACGTGATATTGCGTTCGGTAACTGCGTTGTAAACGGTTCTTAGGGTGTTCCGCGTACGATGACGATATGTGTGATTAGCGTAATGTGTATCGTTTTTTTTTTTTTATAAACATACGATGGTTATTTTTCAAAAAAAAACAATATTATATTCTACTGTATTATTAATGGGAATTTTTTTTTTTCCTTTTTCTTTTTTTTCGGTACAACGCCTTAAAGAACGTCGATAATTAATAGATCGTATTGCAGTTAGAACGGGACAAAACCCTGTCGAAAAACCAATAACCAATACGGTGATGTTATGTTCACGGTGCCCCGGAGCCGCCGCCGAAACCGTGCCACCATTATAGCGCTGTCTCCCGATTAAAAAAAATTCGTCGGGGTGTTGTTGTTTTTTTTTTTTTTTCTCCGGCTACAAACATAATACTGTTGTGCGTTATACCGTAATTCGCAAAATCGGGAGGACGGGAACAGGGAAATATACTAAATTTCACACCTTTAATTTCACACCTATATACCGTAGAATATCGATCGAAAGAAAAAGTAAAAATAAAAAAAAAAATAACGTCGACGATAACGAAATGTTTTATATTTTAGAATCCGCTGTATATTTTTCACTATCGTAGTACAACAATTACTGTTGTTATTATTATTATTATTATAATAATTATTATTATTATTATTATCATTACGCGCTGTTGAATATTTTTATTAGAAAATTTAATGATAACATAAATTATATTATATTATATTATATTATATTATATTATATTATATTGTTGTAACGTTAGTCGAAAAACGTATTTTTAATAGCAGCCCGACCGCTGAAACGTGTAGTAATAATGATAATAACGTCAATTGATATTCACAAAATAAGTCGGAATGTCGTCTACATTAATATTGTGTCGTGTTTGATTATTATTACTGTAGCGGTTTGGTTATACTGTACACTAATAAACGGACGAATTATAGAAAAAAAAAAACAAAAAACAAAAAAAAACAAAATTATTAACGATGTCATTAAATACAAATTTTAATTATAATTATAAATATATAGTCTATAACATAATATATTATAGTTTTTTAATGGATTTTAGAAATTATTTTATTGTTATTACAAAATTGAAAAATTATAATATTATCGTAATCGCGCACTAGCCAAAAAAAAAAAAAAAAAAAAAATGCACAAAAATCATCATCAGTATTAAGCCGAAATGTTATTGTAACGGCTTTTTTTTTTTTTTTTTTTTTTTTTGGTCTGTCGTTGTTGTTCTATAATAATAATAATAATATTGTGTATTATCGTTACCCGTTACTACTATTACCGCGCATTTTCATTTTACGCGCGCGCAAAGTGCAGGCTTTTTTTTTCTTTTTCTTTTTCTTTTTTTCTTTTTTTTTTTTTTGGTCTGTCGTTGTTGTTCTATAATAATAATAATAATATTGTTATTGTTGTTGTTGTTTGATAATTAAGTGCCTTAGGTCATTCCTCTGCGTAAGCGAAATCATAATAATTAAACACAACCGATCGTACCGATTGATCGGATTGTACCGCGCGCTTTGATCGGAACAAAATTCGACCGTTTCGTTTGCGTACCGCGCGTTCTATTATATTACATAATAATATTGTCGTACTTACAGATAGATAAAAAAAAAAAAAAAAAAAAAAAACCGTCGCCCTGTCTCGTGCATATTATATATTATATTAACACACTATATATCATTATGATAACATACTGTATAATAACGATAATGATATTGTAATGATAATGAGACACGCTGATAACCGGTATAAGACCGTAATATTGTAATGATATGCATGCTGCATAATTTTATTTTATTTTCTACCAAAAATATGTTGGGAAAAATATTGCATACATATTATATTATATTTAACGTTTATTATGTATAAATAAAATCTACGAAAAAAAAAAAAAAAAAAAAAAAACTGTGTCGTTTTATTATTGTTCCCGATTTACCCGATTGCCCACTCCGAATCCCGCAAATACTTTTTATTTGACTAATCAACATTAATCGATTAATTATTGACGGGTTAATTTTTATTAACGATATCGACTCGGTATCAAACGATACCAAATCAATGGAAAACAGTTAACCGGTTAAAGTGATCTGGGGAAGGCACAAGGCACAATCGACAACTCTAGGATCCAGCCGCCCTAGAATCACAAAATACATCGCAACGAGACGTATGATACGGACAAGAAATGCACGGAGTTGGCATGATAACTGATTGGAACTGTAACCGAAAACGATCCAAAAGGAAAGCGGCCACTGGGAAGACCTCGGTGAAGACGGATTGTAATGTTGTCGGGTGCGCAGTGACGGTGGGACCTGAAGTACAATGGAATAAAATGCGGTGAAGAAGACAGAAATAGATTTCGGAGTATGTGTTTGAAACGTACGCCTTAAATTCCGTTACCCCTTGAAAAGAAGTAAAAGAAGAATATATTTAGAGTATATTTAATATTGTATTTAACAACTGAAATTAATTTAACGCTGTATAATTCGACATTTTATTGTTGTTTGATTTGAGTTTATGTCAGCAAAAAGGAATTAAGTTAAAAGTCAAGTTAACCAAAAATTACATTTTTTAAGTGAAAATTTATTTAACTTTTAACTTTGTAACTGGGTTATAATGCCCAGTCTCGGATTTATGTACGTTTAGAATTTACATTTGACGTTGTTACGTTTAGAGATTTAATTAACGCAGTAACTTTGTACGGTTATTATGAACCGTTGAAAAACTCAGAAACTTAAAAACTATAATTTTGTTAAAATATTTAACTTGACTTTAAATTGACTTGATTTTTGATTTAACTTTAAGCTCATTAAGTTTATATTTACTCCATTTTCTACAGTTAATCTTTTTTTTTTTTTTTTTGTTCTTTTAACATCTAGGTACATACATTTTTTTTAATCTAGTTAAATTCATTCTTCGTTAACTTTTAAGAGATAAAATCATTATTTTTTCTTATTTTTTTACTTTAATCAAGTTGGTTGGGCACGATCAGCAGCAGTATTCGAGTGATACGGACCGGAAAAAACATACAAAAATTATTCATTGCGTGCCATTTTATCCGGGCAGAGCAGCCAATTTTCAAATGGAAGTATTAGCATTAGAAGTACCTAACCTAACGAATTCGTGCATGGTAAATAAGTGATTCGAGTGATTCTAAAACGAAAATAATATTTTGATTATCGTTACATTTGTTCACATTTTCACATATCACGCACGACATAATTATTGTCCTACTAAGCTATTATATCGAAATCAATTTCCTGTTAGCAATCCGCCCACTCGTCTTTTGTGAAAAAAAAAACCTACATAAATCACCAGTGTCGTTATTTAATTTAAACAAATATGTAGAACACTTATACATCCATACCGAATCAAAATAATATTAATACTAAACGTTTTGAAATTTTTCCATATTTTTATTTTTTTTTTTTTTGTAAAAATGAAGACGTCATTTTTTTCGATTATTATTTTGTGTTATTCGTGCGTGGTGCAGAGATCGCATTGCCGGTCGGCGAACGATTTTTTAAAAGACGTCTTTTCTCTCGACGATGACGACAATAGGTTGAAAGATGAACTCTCGTGCTCGACAATGGAATGCCAAACGGCAGGTAAAATACTAAAATAGATATACGTATTGATAGAGCCACAAACGTATTACGTGGACCCAATGGGGTAGGGATATTGACCCTGGATGCTACATTTTAAAAGGTGTCATAATCTTTTAAAAACATGGTTGGATAGAAGGGAAATGTTTTTTATTTTTTTGATATTTACCTTATGCCGCACTCGCTCAACAGGGCCTAAAACAGTGTAGTTTAGAGCTCAGAATATGCAGTACATAATTTAGAGTGCGCACAGTGCAGCTTGAAATTCCTGTGAATTGTAAAAAACTTTGCTCTTAAAAGGATTGGAAAACGATATTTTCTTTCTTTGTCGAACGTGGCAAAGCAATTCAGAACGATTTCCCTTCAATCAATCCAGTCGATTCATATGATAATAGTTTTAGCGATAGTAAAATTCTGGAAAAAGATTTGAATTCAGCGTCAACTGTCCACGACATCGATCAGGCCGATTTTCATCTAGACAATAAATTCAGATGGTATGCTTGCTTACCTTTATCGATCAATATGCACCGGTTTTTCTTTTGGTCATTCTGAATTTATTATGTCCGTATTCGGCCAGAACAACAGTTTTTTAGTTACCCGTATAAAACAAATGATTTTCGTAAATTTTACCACACACAGTATAATTATAAACATACGTATGTGCGGTGACATAGCTAAGATTTACCAATTCTCCAGTGAATGTTCCTGAACCCCCCGTTTTGGGGGGGTTAAAGGATCTCCGACTTTCCTAACCTTATCTAAAGCTAAAATAAAAATAGCAATTGAGGATTACAACATCCGAGACCGTCCATGGCTATGCCACTGTGTGTGTGTGTTAAACTAAATCAAGAAAATATCATCGTAAACGGTATTACGATTCATATAAATTACAGAATATCTATTGAAGAGTATGAATAGATCCGTGGATCCGTGCGAGGATTTCTACGAGTATACGTGCGGGCTGTGGGTGAAAGACCATCAGGTTCAAGCGACCAAAGTTTCGTGGTACCAGTACAAAGAAGCCGAGAAAACCATAATGAACAATTTGAAAGGTGAGCGTAAAAACAGTTTTTTCGAGGGGGGGGGGGGGAGGAGGAAACAATAAATTTTGAAATATCTAAAATATAATATTTGAAAAAATGTACTTAGAAATTTTAGAAGACGAAAATGTCGACGACGTTTTAGCACCAGCGCAAACGTTTTACAAGAGTTGTTTGAATTCCGGTAAATCTACGATTATACTTGAATGGTTATTTTTATAATTAATTGTAATATTAAACATAGTCAACAACGAAATGAACTTGGAGTACTTGAAATCGATCATTTCGTTGTTCGGCGGATGGCCGATCGACACGAAAGAGCACAGCGATAAGTTACGGTCGTTGGACTGGATGAAAGTTTATGTATACATGGAGAAAAATTGGAAAATTCCGACAATTCTGGATACGGGTATATCGATCAATTACATGAACACCAGCCAATATATTTTGACGGTAATAAGGTGTTGCTGTTGGTCCACCTTTTTTAAAAATAATTTTTGTATTTTTGGGTGACCCCATCCCCCAATATAAATATTTGTCACAAGAAACAAAAAAAAACCATTTCACATTTTACTATTTTACGCGCTTAGTTGAATTGTGAAGTTGACACAACAAAGTTCACAGAGCTTAAAAAAAACCCCTTTCGGTAACTCACTGTCAATTGTTAGAATTTGTTTGAGAATATAAACAAAATAATTCGACTTTAAAATGTTTGGTGCCCAATACCACACTTGGCTATAGACTTAAAAAAAAAACTCATCCTAAAATAATAAAATAGGTATGTTAGAAATTTTTAGAAATGTATGGATCCTCTAAAATTAAAAGCCACGTACACAAAAGAAAATATGATGCTGGGAAGTTCGCACTACATTAAGATTAAATGAAACGATATTGCGGTTATTCCTTGAAAATTTCAAATAATAGGTTCATAAAATTTAATTTTATACTTTTTATTCAAAAAAATTTAGACCAAAACCATTATTTAAATTTTTTTCAATACTTTTCCTCTAATGAAGTTTCCATAAAAATGCATGACATAAATGTAAAGGTACGAAAATATTACATTTTTACATTTTAAGTTTCCTACAACATAAAATTACGGTCAAACAAATTTGAACCTTTAAAAATTTAAAATAACAATTTTCAAGTAACATTATTTTGTATACTAAACGCCTTTTTTCCTCCAACATCACAACACCTCCACCTTCAAACTACATATTATGAACAAATATTGTTGGGTTGCATATTAACAACGTCAGAAGTAATTTATTGGATCGTTATCTTAAGTTGTTTACATATAAACGCGTAAACATTTATTTTTTTTTCCTTATATACATATACATATTTATGTTAATTTAATTGAATAAAAAATTAAATATTTCAACAATTAATTTACCTAATGGAAAAACAATCAGTTATAAAACCTGGTTAAGTTTTTAATATTATGTTATGAATGTTTACAATTAGAGGTACTTTGATAAAAATATTTATTTTTTTTTTAAATTTAATTTATTTAAAAATGAAGCACATTAGGTTTATTATCCCAAGAAACTTTATAAAAAACAACTTTAGTATTGATATGTGTGTTGCGTATGATGTACAATAAATATAAAGAAATATAGGGAATATTAATTATTTAACTATAAATATATAAGTACTAGTAGGTAATTACAAATGATTACAAATGATTACAAATTTAGCGAGAACTACCCATTCTTCGTCATAATTTGAGGCAATGAGGATTGAAACAATATTTCTGGTGGAAAAGATGATTATAAAAAATATAAGGAAAAATGTTAAAAAGGTCTCCTAGGATAATTGGGACGGGTGCAGCCACTGTTATAGATAATTTAGTGTACACCTGTAAACAATGATAAACCATTGCTTACAAAAAGACCGATAATGAGCGGAGTTCAGTTGATAATGATGCTTTGTCAACAATTTATACGCTATTTCATAATAAAATAATTAAATAGACTCTTATATATTTTTTTAATAATATTTATTTGATATTGTATCGATTTTCCCTGTTTTTCTACGTTTTTTCCGGTTTTCTGTGTTTTATCCTGATTATTCACATTTGCTGGGAAAACTCATAGGAAAATCGAAAAATTACCTCCCTGAAGTACCTTCCCGGTTAAATTTCCTTTCAAAAAAATTGATGTCATTATAAATCGGAGACAAATTGCTTGTAGAAAAGTTGTTCACAAGAAATAAATACGCCGTAAAATATTTAAACTAATACCTACATTTCTTATATTGTCTCGTTTTTCCTCTGGTTTTTTTCGGTTTTTCGAATTTGATAAGAAAATTCCTGAGAAAATCGAAAAATAACCTCTCTAAAGTACATTTTAGTGAAATTTTCTTTTAGAAACATTGCTAGCATTATAAATTAGAGCGAAATTGCTAGTTAAAAAGTTGTGCACAGGGAAAAAAATCGTAATATATTGTACTAATATATTTCGTACATTTTTCCGTTTTTTTGTATTTGATGGTAAAACTCTTGAGAAAATCGGAAAATGAACTCTTTAAAGTACCTCTCTACACCGGTTTCCTTTCAGAAAAGGCGCTACGCTTAAAAATCTGAGCAATTCTCTGGTAAGAAAGTTGCACACAGATAAAAAACAAAAAAAAATACATCTTTGTAAAATAATAAGCTTCTCTGTTCCACTCGGAATCTCAGAATCTAAATAACGGACACTGTGTGCACGTGGGCAGCCTACTATTGTAAGTGAGACGTTGGAAGGTAGTAAATGGGAAATTATGTATACCCGTACACCGCGCGCATAATAAAACCAATTTATTCCTGGCTACGCTCAGAATCTAAAACATATATTTAAAAAAAAAACTACTACAATACCCACACATTTTTCCCGCCATGTAAAACCTATATTATAAACTTCGGGTCAAATTACTACATCTAGTCTAAACGCCGGTGTCTATAGATAGTGCTTAGTATCTATCTAGATACTTACTGCCTGTTACCTATACTTGGTCGTTTGACAAACTACCAACACACGTATTTATCATAATACGATTAGTACAGTGTCGCGTATGTATAATAATATAACATCGTCGTGACGTGGAGTTATACTGATAGAACTATACGAGATAAGCGAAATAGACGCAACATAATAGAATTATTATTATACGAACAAAAATATGCCTATTCAATTTTCGATTGGTGAATGGCGTACGCGGGGATGCTCAGTCTTCCGAAAACCCATTCAGCCTTTTAATTATTTTAATTATGAACAAAGTGTTTCTTTCGTTCTGCACAGTTTGAAATTTTTTTACACAAACGCAAACCATAAGAGAACTAATAATACCCAGAGGAAAATACGAGTCACGCAATTCGTTTAAAAGGCCCGGGTGTAATAACAATTTTATTCTAACGTTTCTGCAGATAGGTCAACCGGAATTAATGTTACCGAGATCGATGTTCGTGAACCCGGAACGATACAAGACTCAAGTAAACGCTTACTCAGAACTCATTGCGGGCACTGCGTTTTTGATGTACAAAGAATTAGGATTCGGACCGTCGCCCAATCGGAATATAAATTTCGGTGACGAATACGCCGACGAAATAATTCAATTCGAAACGCAATTGGCAAAAGTACGACCGCAATGCACATTACTATCATTATTATCATTATTTATTAAAAACAAGGAAAACATAACCGTTTATCAATAATTTAAAATAGATAAAAAATTCCGGGGAGATGAAAAGGAGCGAAAAAATATTGAAAAACCGCGTCATGACAATTGACGAACTCCAGACCGACATCGACAGCATGTCGAACGTTTTTCATGTACGAGCAATCAACTGCGTATTTTTTTTCAAAACCGTACTTATTCTTCTATTCGTTTTGCATTGCATAACATACTTGCACATTATTTACAGGTCGATTGGTTGAAAATGTTCGGGCTACTGTTCAAAGGCACCGACGTGATTGTGAAAAAAACCGAAAGGATATTGGTAAAAGACGAGAACTATTTGAAAAGTCTTCTGCGGGTGTTGGAAATCACTCCGAAAAGAATATTGAGTGCGTACACTGTATACATATAGATGTATAGAAATAGCAGTATTCAATTCTCTCATTTCGTTAACACCGCCGAGCGTTTTATATACATATATGTATTTTGTTTTTACAGTAAATTATATGTCGTGGTGCTTTTTACGATCGATGCTATCCGACATCAGAGAAGATTTGCGGAATCTCGCACAGGATTTCAACGTAGTATACACCGGGGACGTTAAAGAAGTTGTCAGGTGATTTCATTTTGACCGTGATATTATTATTACCGTGTGCGTTAACCGTACTGCAAAATTATTATGTTAGTTGACATTAAAACCGTTCATTTTTCCGAACCGAAAAAGTGTTTTCCGAGAAGAAAAAAACCAGATCTCGGTAAAACCAACAGCTTCACAATAGTTACCGTAGATTCGCCTATAATGTATTTATTTGTCGAAAACGTTAACATATAGTCTTATACGAAATTTACTAGTTTACCTAATCTATACATTTGTTCGTCGCGTCTTTATTCGATTCACTCCAACTGTGAAAGTTATGTTTTTAAACATCTTCAAAATGTCGTTATTCAGCTGTAATTTAATTTTTTTTATTTTTCATGACTTCTGTTTAGGTGGATGGACTGCGTATCCATGACCAGCTCGTATTTTCCATATAACGTCGGGTACAAATATGTCAATAAATATTTCGACAAGTCTACAAAAGAAATGGTGAGTACAATAGTTACGGATTCAATGGCGTGGCGGACGACGTTTTCTAGTTTAAGCTTAGCCATAGAAACAAAAGTAAAGTTGAAGGGAGGGATGACGATCGAATAGTTGTTTGAGATCGGCTTTGGAATACATTGGTCGGGGTTCGAAGTATGCTCACGACGCCAATGTTTACTTATCACGAAACATATAAATTGTAGTTTAAAATTATCGAACCAGACGTACGGAATCGACACGTTTTAAATATTGTGCGGGTATGTTAAATATGAATTAAAAATCGAAATCGCTTACGATTTAGGCCACGGAAATGGTTAAAAACATACGGGAGGCTTACATGGAACAATTGGAGAATTTAGGATGGATGGACACCGTTACTCGCCAATCCGCCATCGATAAATTACAATCTATGCACGAGTTTATCGCGTATCCCGATTGGTTTCACGATCCTTTGTACCTACAAAACAAACTGAAAATCGTAAGTAAACTGTATATTATTATTATTATAAATATCGGCATAAAAACAACCAATCGTAAAATGTACCTTTAATCATTAAACAACTTCATCGATGAAAAGAAAAAAAAAAACAACGTAATTTTGCGATCAGTTTCCGTTTTATACGATCAAATAGCTTGATAAATGCCTGCTATATTATGTACTCTAATGTACACTTATGCATCAACAGTTTACTCGTAATCCGAAAATCTAACAGAAAATTCGGAAAACTGTACTGAAAATCGCATCGATTACGCGTGGGTTCATCAATGAATACGATTATAATAATCACATATTTCTAAACAGTAACTTTGATAATAACCGTGTTAATAAAATACCGAAATTTCTATCGTTTTAGACAAATTACGAACAATCAATGACACGTTTTTAAATTAATTGCAAATTACGCAAATTAAAAAAATTAACGTTTTCGGTTTGCTATAAAATTTCAGGTGAATATGACGGACAGCTATTTGATGAACTTGGAGATTTTGCAAACGTCGTCGAACTTGAAAAAACTATCGAAATTAAACACTTTTCACAATCACGCCGAGTAAGGACAATACATAATATAATTATTTTAGCGATGTATAAAATAAAATACAATATAATTGGTAAATGTTCAACGCATTGCTTGCGAAATACAGGGTGTCATACGGCGTTATCCGAATGCAAATAACATTGCCAATATTCATTTTTTTTTTTCCATTCAGGTTTTGTGTAAGCGGGACAAAAATTAAATTTGTATTTTCATCTCTTGATGACTGAAATGTAATAACGTTTCAAAACAGCCATTTTGTAAAATACACTATTCCGGAAATTCGAATGTTACATAGATTCATATCCGATCGCTAGTTTCTGAGCCGTTTTAATATACCGTGATTATATCTTGTACTACGACCGTGATCCGCTATCGCGCGCAACGTGGTAACTGCACACCTTTCCCTGTAGATACTAAAACTGCGATTACAAAAAAAAAACTATTGATCGGATATGAATGTATATGATACAATCGAATTTTTTAGAATAATATATTTTACACATTTGTTATTTTGAACATTTTAAAAGGTGAAAATTAAATTTATTGTTTTTCAGCGATTAAGGGATAAAAATAAAAATTTAATTTTCTTTTACATTTGTGCACCCCGACACGAAACCCGATTGAAAAAAACAAATGTAACGAATGCTAACAGAGCCATTAGCATTCGGATAACACTGTGTATATGTAAAATTAATATCATAATTTTTTTTTAATTAGATGGACAATGGACGTGGTCAGTGTAAACGGGTACAACGACGTCTACTCGAACGCGATAGGTAAAATGTCAAAGAACTTTATGTATTATTAGGTATTCACGGTGTTAAATTGAAGTAAGTTACGGTATTTTTACTGATTTTCTATCAATTTTGCCCAATCTGTTAACAAAATCATCCATTCTCAATCTATTATACTGCTGACCTTTTTCTGTAACTGTGACGCAACTTTTGATGGACGATTTAAAAATAAACCCCCCGCGTATCTTGTGAAACGTGGATAAAAATGAATTCTCTCGATTTGGCGAATTAAACGATAAAGCGGAACTAAAATTTCGCGGCTCGAAAGCATTCTGGGAGCCTTAGGCACCAGTAAGGCCCCGGCTCTAATATCCGTCTATGAATAACAATAACCGTTACCCAGATAAATTTTTTTTTTTTTTTTTATTTATTTATTTATTACACAATCTATAAACAAAATTGACAACTAGCTTAAGCGGTGAACAATTTATCAATACGGCCGTTGAGAAAGTTGCGAGTGAAGAGACTAGCCTCGTTGGTGGTACTTTGACGTGTTCGGCTGGAATGAATCGTCTATAGCAGGTCACGGAAACCAATTACGTTTTAACCGTCTTTCGGGGCGATGGCGGAAGACGGGAGTGAAATTTACGACAAGAAGTTATAGCGACTTTACGGACGAGAGGAATCGAAAGGTCGTAGCGGACTGAGCGGTTGGAAACGTAGAATGGCGCTTTAGCGATTTGGCGGAGGCATTTAGATTGAATTGTTTGTACACGATTTCAAGTCGGAGCCCCCCCCCCGCCCCCCGCCCATACTATAAAACAAATTTCGCGTCCCCGGTCGCGTTTACAATATTAATTTGTTTGAACAATCAACGTACGGAATTTACACAGATTACGAATTTAACCATTCGCATTTCTTGTACGCTGCACGTGAAAATTACAACGTTTTTCGTTTTCAGTTTTGCCGTCCGGAATGTTACAACTGCCGTTTTACCATAAAAATCGAATTCAGTAAGTACACTCGATATAATAGATGGTATTTTATTGTTTCAGATCGGAATTTAATATTGGCTGTTATAATACGCGTAGGCGGTGTTATAATAATATAATCGAGGTTGGGATTTTATTTTACGGTTTTTTTTTTTTTTTTCAATAGAAACAGGTCATGCTATAATATTTTTACGAATAAACCTTATAGAAACAGTTATTATTTTCAACCGCGTACAATTAATAATATAATTTTTATCAGGTTATTGTCAACGAAATCCACAAATATTACACTCCGTTCGATTTAGAATAAAACCGAACGAATATTATGTAAATTTTACGAACCTAACATTTACAATATTTCAATTGTAAATCCACCATTTTTTTCTTATCTGTATTTTCCGGTTTTTATTGCATTTTTTTTCTTTTTCGCGCATATTTACGACATTTTAAACGCTATAAAATCCCGACCATGATAATATTGCGTAGACTAACGCCTTCCGTATAATATTATGCATTATGTATCTACTTTATAGAGCACTGAATTACGGAATGGTGGGTTTGGTCGTTGGTCACGAAATAATGCACGCGTTCGACGACTCGGGTCTGTAACTATACGGCAAATTATGCCTCGCGGTTAATAAATAAACATAATTAAATAAAAGATTTTTCGATTTGAAAAAAAAAAAAAAACAGGCAGAATGTTCGACAAACAAGGCAACAGGCGACAGTGGTGGACCCGGGAAACGATGGAGACGTTTTTAAAAAAAGCGGAATGTTTCGTTCAACAGTACAACAATTACAATTTGACCGTACTCGGCAATCAAGTCAAGGTATAATGATAATTTAGCAATCTAGTCGAATTTAAATCGTTTGAAAAAAAAAAACTTATGTCCGGTTTTGCGACGCACAGAGTGATCCGTTTAACCAGCGATTTTCACGGAGGATTTTAAGTGAATTTTATTTCAGTTTATTTCCTCAATCGTTATTTTCAATTGTTTACCCCTAATATTTGTGTACATTAAAGGAGTACAATAAACTACATATCAATCCGTTGTTCTTCCGGTTTTTATAATCTTTCGGTTGCTGCAGGTAGTCCGCAGCTATCCGTGCTTCTGTGTCAAAACTAAAATTCTTTAACTCTCATTAACTGTTATCATTCCCGTGTTCTTAAAGATAATTCCCCCCCCCCCCCGTGTACGGAACTATAAATTCAATAACGAATAGGACAGGGTCAATGAACGTTATACTGAGTTCTTCATACCGAGCCCATGTGGTAAAATCCACTACTCGTGAAAAATATCATGCATAAATTAAAAATTCTAGTTTTCAGAATTTTTAAGTGCAGTGAACTTCGTACGCTTAGATTTTTCGCAATATTTCAGGACTATCTATGGCAATGACAAATTTGGTTTTTCAAATGAGATCCTACACGTTTTATTTCAAATTTGTAATCAGATGTATTTTCTAAAAAGGTTGACGTATTGTAATCGAAATTTGAACGAACATTTTCTGTTTTTCTGCCTACTACACATACAAATTCCAGAAATCAGAATTTAAATTTATGCTTAACTTAACCATAAAAATCACCCTGTTTATTATTATAAATATTTAAGAAAAATGAGGTAATGGAGGATATCCTCCCCATTTCCCGTTTGACTGTCCCTGAAAGTTACTACATAAAATTCGAACAGTGAAAAAATCGAATTGAATAATTATATAGTTACCGATTGCATTCTAGCCTAAGAGCCTGTAGCCTAAGTGTACGTCATCCGTTATCCGTTTCGAACGTTTTTATTGCCTTACTAAAACGACAAAAACGCACTATTAATACAATAGTAGTCATCAAATTAACAAAATTATTTTTGTATACTCATTAGGTAAACGGCCAAATGACTCAAAACGAAAATATCGCAGACATCGGCGGTCTGAGCCACGCGTACATAGCGTACCAAAAATACGTGAAAAATCACGGAGCGGAAAACCGGCTACCCGGACTACCGGAATTGTCGCCGGAACAGTTGTTTTTCGTGGGATTCGCTAGTGTGAGCTTGCAGATTGTTTTCTAAAAGAAGAAAAAAAAAAGATATTACAATTGTTATTTTAATCGAAATATCTCGCGAAAATTTACAGATATGGTGTGAATCGACGACCGAACAGACGCTGTTGAACGATCTGTTGACCGACGTCCACAGCCCGGGTCGAATTCGAGTGTTGGGCACCTTATCGAATTCGGTGGAGTTCGCCAAAGCGTTCCAATGTCCGGTCGGATCGCCCATGAATCCCGAAGACAAATGTAAAATTTGGTGAAGACGAGAACAATATACAAACCCCGACAAAAATATCGACAATTTTTGTATTTTTCGTGCAATTTATTTTATTTTAAACTAGCTATCCCGCGTCCGACGCTGTCCGTGCAGATTTTTTAATTATTTTTACCTTTATTCCCGTTTTGCTTTACCCGTATCAGCATATTGAACGGAAAAAAATTGGTGGAAAGTGGGCAGTCCGCCTGAATGTGCTCTAGTGTGCCATACATTTTATCGTCCGTGTTACCATAGATCCTCGCACAGTACAGGGATAAAACTATACATCTACTGTAATAACGTTAAAATGATGGGAACCTTAATGGTACTGTAATGTTGTTACAGTACCGAAAAGTAAAAAGATTCAAAAATGACGGTTCACATGTTTTCACTTTTCACTTACCCCCCTCCCCCACGCACAGCTCCTAATATTTTGTTCATATTTTTTTTTATCCATGTTACCACGGTAGCCCATCCTATTTCAAGCCAACAATAGACCGGCAGACAGTCAGAGAGACTCTTCATTTCAAAGTTGTTATAGATGTTATGGAATTTTCATTTCTATTTATTATTTACATTTTTTTTTGTTTTAAAATTGTTTTCATTTCATCCGTGTAACTATTAAGGTTATCCATAATCCAACAAAAGTAATTTAATTTTCGTACTGGAGATACCTAAAAGCCTTTCATCACCTTTAAGTTTTATTTCCGCGACAAAAAGTAGCCTGTTTTTCTCCAAGGTCCCATCTATCTCTATACCAAAATTTATCGAAATTGATTTAACGGTTTAGGCGTGAAAACGTAGCAGACAGACTTACATTCAAATTTATAATATTATAGTTAGGATTGTTTTTATTGAAATGCGTTACGAAAACTGCAATATAATTAAAAATTTTCAAATAACCGAATGAATAAAAACACCCAATTGTGTCTACCGTTTTATAGGTAAAAAGCGAAAATATCTACCCCTGTTACAAAACAAAATAGGGTTTATATAGAAAAAAGTATGCTCTTTCGTTTGGAATGGTCAAATGTTCGAAAATCGGCTTAGAAATATCACTTTTTTTCAATTTATAATTGAAAAATCCGTAAAAATTCGCTATCGAACGATACTCAAATTTTGTCTATATTCTTCATAAAATTTTAACTATTTAGAAATGATCATTAAAGAATATGCCATTATATAGAAAAAAGCATGCTCTTTCGTTTGTAATATTCAGATGTTCGAAAATCGGCTTAGAAATATCACTTTTTTCAATTTAAAATTGAAAAAACCGTAAAAATTTGCTATCGAACGATACTCAAATTTTGTCTATATTCTTCATAAAATATTAACTATTTAGAAATGATCATTAAAGAATATGCCATTATATAGAAAAAAGCATGCTCTTTCGTTTGGAATAATCAGACGTTCGAAAATCGGCTTAGAAATATCACTTTTTTTCAATTTATAATTGAAAAAACCGTAAAAATTGCGCTTTCGAACGATACTCAAATTTTGTCTATATTCTTCATAAAATTTTAACTATTTAGAAATGATCTCTAAAGAATATGCCATTATATAGAAAAAAACATGCTCTTTCGTTTGGAATAATCAGATGTTCGAAAATCGGCTTAGAAATATCACTTTTTTTCAATTTATAATTGAAAAAACCGTAAAAATTCGCTATCGAACGATACTCAAATTTTGTCTATATTCTTCATAAAATTTTAACTATTTAGAAAAGATCTCTAAAGAATATGCCATTATATAGAAAAAAGTATGCTCTTTCGTTTGGAATAGACTGATGTTCAAATATCGGCTTAGAAGTATCACTTTTTTTCAATTTAATATTGAAAAAACCGTTAAAGTTCGCTATCGAACGATACTAAAATTTTGTCTATATTCTTCATAAAATTTTAACTTTTTAGAAAAGTTCTCTATAGAATATGCCATTGTATAGAAAAAAGTATGCTCTTTCGTTTGGCCTGGTCAGATATTCGAAAATCGACTTGGAAGTATCACTTTTTTTCAATTTAAAATTAATTAAAAAAAAGTAATATCCAACGAAATAACAGAACATTTTCTATAATTATACGTATTCGATTATGAGATTTATTTGAATAATTTTAATTATAATTCGAATATAAAAGGTAAATTGTATCGCAAGACTACGAAATTTGCACGATTTTGTCCGTTTTATACACAAAAAAGTACATTTTGAATATCGATTTTTGGAAAAAAAGTAATGTCAAACGAAAAAGCAGAATTTTTTCTATAATTTTGCGTATTCGCTTATGAGATTAATTTGAATAATTTTAATTAATATTCGAATCTAAAACAAAAATTGTATTGCAGGACAGCGAAATTCTAAATCATTAGACATTACAATTTATACTCATTTCATCGCTTTTGAAACGATAAATGTTCCCTGACGAACTTGTTTTGTAATAATGTCATTAAAATTCGTATATTATTATTGATTCGACCGAGTTTTTCCCATGTATTATCTCTGCGATGTGAATGGTACCTGAATGTTATCGCTGAGGAATACGCCGGCCGTTCGGGAACTACACCCCCCCCCCCCCCCNCCCCGCGTCGTCAAGTTATATAATTATATAATTGTATAGCTGGTCAAAGTCTCCTAGCGGACGTCATTCGTAATTTGTGACTTGCCGTGTTTGTTTGCTACCGCCGTCTACTGCAGAACATCGTTTTGTCGTCGCCTTTATTACGTCGCCGTTCGCCGTTTTTCATTCGTGTAGCCGTCGACATCATGGTGCGGACGAAGAACACTGCATTGCACACGGGTACCCGATTATTTTATTATTATTATTATTATTAATGTACATAAAGGGGATCGGGAGCGGTGATTTTCGGTTTTTGTCTCGCAGGCGTGCGACAGGGGAATTTAAACGCGGTGGTATCTTTCCAACGACGTGGTATTATAGGTGGGTACCGTGATTATAAGTGTATTGTGAAGCCATCTGAATTCCGAAAACGGATTTGAATTTGTCGTCGAGTTACGCGAAATCGACTTTTTCGAATTTCGGATATTATTATTCCTCTAAGATTCCAAAAATATCCGTTAAAGAAAAAAAAAATTATGAGAAAGGCAATCTCGAGTACAAACTCCGATGACAAATATTGCGTTCTGATTTCAGAATTCTTATCGCTTCAATTAGAGCGTAGACTATAGACCAGGGGTGGTCAAACTGCGGCCCTATGAATCTATGACGAGATATCATGCGGCTCGCATCTTATCGTAAGATACAAAACATTTTTACAAAAAAATATGGTGTTTTTATTATAATATTTTTAATTATTAATTAATATCTTATTTATTGCGTGTTCATTTTTTTTTTTTTTTTGTAAGTTTTTTGAAGTCAGAATTATACGTTGTTAGAGCAGTCCTAAACAATTCCGTTAAATTATCATCCATTAAAATTGAGCGATGTTAAGTTTTTATTATTTTAATTGTCGAGTATAAAGACTCACGAGAATATGTTGTTCCGAAATTTAATATCTTATCTTATTTACGATAATCATATACGTTTATATATATATATATTAATAAGTCATTTTTATTTATTTCGGCTCTTCCATATTTATTAATATATTAGGGGGCTCGCGAATCTCTTCTCGCTGGCCACCCCGGCTGTAGACGAATCGGTGTACGTACGTTGGAAATAGAACACGCGTCTAAATGCCCAGGTAGCCATGTCGCGCGCATACCAAGACGAAGACGGAAAATCATCGTTTCCAATCCCCTTGACACCCCCTTCCACTCGGGGGTTGACCATTGGTGCGCATACGGGGGTGCCAGGGGGTAGTAAGCACCCCCAGATTTTGAACTAAATAAAATAAATATAATATTCAAACAGTAGGAGCTCAGATATGAGATGAGTAATAATATTACCATTATACTATTAAGTGTATTGATTTATGTTGCATATAATATATTAATAATTAATATTGTAACGTAGTATTTATTTTATATTATTATGTAAGTTTATGTTAATTTTTTCATATTTTTAAGGAAGTACCCATCCCTGTTGGTTATTTATTAAACCCAAACTCAAAAAGAATGATTTTGTTTTCGCCCAGAGTAATATTATACACCGCAAACGAAAAAAACATTTTAGTTACCACAGTCCACGAGTTTGTGTGTTACGAAAAGTAACTCGTAAACAATCAAATTATTTCAGCTTTAATAGGAAACTCCGGATTCTAAATTAAATTATACACTGTAATCTCTTTGATAAATCAGATAATTCATAAATCGAAAATTGCTCTAAATTATTGAAGCTCATTTGGCTTTAAAAATACAAATGTAATAACTTGTAGACGTAAACAATTTTTAGTTCTTAATAATAAAATAAAAAATTTTGGTTTTTTTTGTTCGTGTAATACAAATTTATGTTAAATTATGTGTGTTTCATTTAATATTTACGTTGACGGAACATTTAAATGCTGTGCTCGATTTTATATAGGTATAAATAACACTTTTAATAAAACAAAAAAGACCTCTTAGGATAACGGGGTCGAGGTCGGAGTCATTTTGTCTACATTGTTTTATTAACCTTATATTTTATTTTTCCGGATTTTTATCGTCCGCAGTTTCTCTCGGAAGGTCGCCTAAAATGCAGGCATCCTGTAAAGCGGCTTGTAGAGCCGCTTCTTCCTTGGCCTCGTCCTCGTCAACGTCCACTCCGAACAAAAAACGTAAGTGATGCGCGCTATGTATTATATTATTTTAGATTCTGAACCCAGCGAAGAATGTAAGAATTGTATTGGTTTTATTTTAAAGGAGTGCGAGATTTTTTTTTTTTAATTAATTTGTGTCATTGTCACTAACATACAAAACTTTTCTACCAGAAATCTTAGCATCCTTAGCATCTTTTCTTAAATCAAATTGTGTCTAGTTGATGCATCGGGGGGTCATTTTTTTGATTTTTCTTGTCAAACAGAAAAAAAATGACCTCCCTAAAGCACAAACTTCTGACAAGAAAAAATTGTTAATTTCTCTAGGGAATTACAGTGGTGGAGGCAATCCCGTGCATAAAAGAGAGACGCCACTGTGGCAAAAAGAGATAACGTGCTTTTTCCCGGCAAAAAATGACAAACAATCTACAACTGACGAAGACTACGTACCACCCAAGCAACAAATGACGCAAGCGGGATCTTCGAGAATCCAGTAAACCTGGAACTTCTGCTCATATATTATTATACTATTTTTTTAAGGTTTTATTTCACAAATATAATAATTGTTATACATAGGTACTATACTTTATTAACAATACACGTCATTTGTGTTTACACTTAGTCGAAGAATAACAATGTTTTACGTGTTTTTTTTTTTTCAAAAATAATTTATAATCGAAAATAATAATAATTATAAATAGTTATATATTTACGATATTTTAATTACCAATAAATTCGGATTTTTTTATTTATATTTATATATTGAAAAATATTTGAAGGTTCTGCATTTTCCGTGTATACAAAAAATTATCACAAGTGTAGCTATGACATAAAATCATAGCAGTATTTTTTGACGCAATCCGTATTATTTGCGTTTATAAGTCTTCTTCTCGTTTCGGACAGAGTTTTTTTTTTTTTAAACTACAATCCTTTCTTCTCCCGGTTTTTAATTATTCCTATCATTTCGTCATGATTTCTGTTCAATAAAAATCTTTCATTTCACATCTACTAGATATCAATGTATACTGGAGCAGATGTTTGTTTCTCTCTACATTTGCAATTTGTTCTGTTGGTCATTCCCCACCTATTTAGGTTTTATTTGGGTTTTATTCCCACTTGTTTCCACAGACAGTTAAGAGTTTTCCACATTTTCCAGGGTAGGTTATAATTTGGTGGTAAGGTTTCTGTGGACACGCCCCAGCCTATGAGCATGTCCCATTTTGTTCGCTCTTTTCATGCTTCAATCCGGTTTACCATTGGGTTTTCCCTTAGTGGTGATGTCGTTTTCATAAAGCACTTCCTCGATTTTAACCTGCTATTGGTTGAAATTACTCCATATATTACATGTCTGTTGTCATTTATCTGTTTGCCCCAATCTATATTAGCTGCTATTTCATGTTTTATTTTAGGCAGCACTATTCTGCCTAAGATTTACACTTTTGCATTAGGAGTTGGTTTTAAACATCCTATTATTAGCCTTAATGTATCATTTAATGCGATAACTACTTTCTTAGCATGAGATGACTGTCGCATTTATGAGTTATACCCATTATTGCAAATAGGATACTTAGCTCCCCAAAAATGTCAATATCAAATCTTACCAAATTTGATCTGTTGTTTTTATTTTGTTTAGTGTTTACAATAATTAAATTACATAATATAAATGAATAAATATTAATACTGAAGTGTTTGTGTGTATGTAATATGCATAATGCATATTGTATATAATAAATAATTGTAAGCTTAGTTCTAAACATTTTAGAAATACTAAATTAAAATAGTATATTTGTAAAAATATGTAGTAATTTTTATTGTTTAGTTAAATTTTAATTATAGGTAATTAGGTGTAATGTTTGAAATTAAGTGCAGGTAGTAAGTATATAACTATATATTTGTGTAAATACCCCAGTTTTGATCTGTAGTCAGGACTCAGCCCCTTCAAACTTAATATATAGCTTAATATATATTAGGTTGACATGTCCCCATGTCCAGTAAACACTAGATAAATAATCAAGACTCAAAATATGGACAATAAATTTTAAAAATATTTTTTAGGTACAAGTCAAAATAAACAAAATTTACAATTTGTAAAAACAAAAAAAAATTATTTTGATTTCTAAATGTTGATATACCAATAACAAATTAAGATATTATCTTAATTTTCACAGGATAAAAATAATTTTAATCACATAAAAACAAATAAAATCCTAAAAGCTCAATAATTTTAATTGGCTATAAATAAATGAGCAATTGCCAGAATGTTTTAAAAATTATACCATATCTGGAAAGTACTATATATATGAGACTATACCTTTATAAGTACATATTTAATGCAATTTTCGACCTCTACAATTTTTCACTGAATAATCAAAGTAGAATATAACAGAAATTATTATATGGGTAAGTAGTGTGAATGTTACAGGTACAAGTTTTATGATGTTTAGATCATAATCAAAAAGAAATAAAAAATTTAAAAATAATCTCCTCATTGCACTTATGAGATAAACAATATTTTATGTATTAGAAACAATCAACACAAAAGTTGATGACTGAAGTAAGATTTCTAGTAGAAAAGTTATTTACACACAGAAAAAAAAATTTAAAAAAATTATATTTGTCTTTCCTAGACATGGTAACATTTTAAAAACATTTGAGCCACTTTCAGCTTTTTATAAAAATTACATTTTTTGTTGAAATTTTATAAAAATATTTGTATGAAATTTATGGACTTGAAAGGTGGACCCAAAACTTATATTTCCCTTTTCTAGATGTGGTAAAGGATTCAAAATTGTTTAGCCAATTTTGAGCTATTAATAGACATTTTAATTTTACGAGTTTTGCACATTATTTTTATTCAGTAGGTACTTTAGGGTGAAATGAAATACTAATCAGAAATACTTGAAAATTGAATAGAAGGTTAATATTATAAATTCTACTTTGTGGTCAAAAAAGTAAAAGTTGAATTTAATGTAGTACTTATATTTTTTTTAAAAGAATTTTAATATCAAATTTTAAGGAAAGATGTGAAACAAAACTAGTTACTGGTCCTTATGAATTGTTTCAATTTATAATTATTTTACTATAATACATGTATATATATACATATATAACATATATATTTATTGAAAAGAAATAAAGGGTTCAACATGTAAGGTTATTAACCATGCATACATGTCACAATGTGTGTATTACATTAATTATTAAATTTAAGGGTACAATGTATAACATTTGAACTATACATGTTAATGTTTTCTTGACATTTATTGCATCTGGAAAGTGGATCTATGCTGATTAAGAATGCATAGATAAAAAAAGACTGTACTATTTTCGCTCAGGTTAGATTGACTACTTGTTGTCTATTTTGGGTGCATCGTTTAACATTTATTAATTTGTTGGAAGGCTGAACAGAATCCTAGTAACTTTGCCCCATGTCATGTTTATTTTTTGTTTTGTGGATATCTTAATGTTATATAATATTATATGTCACTATATCTACTGACTTATCAGCCATATCGTAACTGACAATACTATTATATTGTGTTGATACCCACATAAATTTTGTTTTTTTTTTGTTAGAAAATAATTCAGTTTGAATGTTCACTGTTATTTTTAAACTTATTAATTTAAAACATTTTGACATAAAATTAAGTAACAAATTATTGTTATTTAAATTCATTATTAGTCCGAAGTAATATTATAATATGTCTTATAACAAAAAATAAATAGCTATAATTCAGCTCCCTGGCATATAGGTTTATTTTTAAAATATTACGTTCTTCTGTTATCATTAATAATTATATAAGCAACAGTGTTAATAGAATATTTTATTTATTTTTGATTCAAATCAGATCCTACAATTACTTATTATTAGATCCTTTTAAGACAGACTTAATGAAAATGTGAAGAGTATAACATTAAACCCAGTAAATAATACATCATGGAATGAAACAAATAGCATTAAAGAACTGATTTATTTTTATTATTTTTTTATGCATAAGTAGTCATATTTTAAATGTTTTAAATTACATACAAAATAGTATTTGCTATTTTCTTATTGTAAAATTTATAAAAATGTTGATTAATTTAATTTTAAATCATTGAGTTATGTTATGATAGTAATAATATTATTAAAAATACCTAATAATAATTAAATTAGTTAATATTTTTTATGGTTAACACAATTATTATACCTATAAAAAAAATTAATTTCAAAGTAAAAACATTGTTAATTAGTATATAATTTTATTGTGATAATCTAAGTATATCCAATGAGAAAATAACTATTTTATCAATATTGATTTTTCCAGTCAAAACAAATAGTAATAATTATTTTACTATCTAGCAAAACTCATTATAAATTAACCTACTTACATGCAATACTCAAATAATAAAAAATAATGGGTTGCAACATAATGACAAAAATACATTATATGCATTTATATGAGCATTCATTAAAAAATATATATATTTAATTATCTATAAAATAAAAATTTTGCAGAATTGAGACCAAAAATTAATTTTTTAAAAAACTTTAATGTAATTTTCTGAACAATAACCTTCTAGCTGTTAATAATTTTTGGCAAGAAACTGGTGAAATAATAAACGTCTACTATTATTCAATTATTATTTTATTGAAATTATTATAACTTAATAGTTACATTTCATAGTTTTTACACTGTAGAATTTTCATCTTCTGCTTTGTTTTTATTCGGATCATCTGGTTTCATCGCTGGGAAAAATAGTACTTCCTGAAATATTAAAAATGTATAATTAAGAACCAATAAAACCAATTGTTATTGCATTTTCACTGGGTGGAAATAATTTATCCTTATTGCACCAATAAGACAAAAATATTTATTAGAAACCATCAACTCTAAAGTTAATGACCCAAGCAAAATCTCTCGTAAAAAAAGTTGTTAATTGATTGTATTGAACAATACTAGTGGTTTATTTTAATGAAAGTTAACATTAACACTAATCACTAATATTTAACTTACTTTAATATTATTAGAATCTGTTAAAAACATTGTTAGACGATCAATACCAAGACCCCAACCAGCTGTAGGAGGTAAACCATACTCCAATGATGTACAAAAGTTTTCATCTATCAATTGAGCTTCATCATCACCAGCTGCTTTATCCTACCATGGATTATAAATAATACTTTACATGATTTATATGAATATAATTTTAAAGGAAACAAAAAATTTACCTTTGCTTGTTGTTCAAATCGATCTCTCTGAATCATAGGATCATTTAACTCAGTGTAAGCATTACATACTTCTTTTTTCATAACAAATAATTCAAATCTTTCGGTTAAACCAGGAATGGATCGGTGCCATTTAGCTAAGGGCGACATCACTTGTGGATGGTCACATATAAATGTTGGATTTATGCATTTTTCTTCAAGAAATTCACCCACAAGCTTTAAATTATTTAAGTACACACTATTGTTTAATAACATTTATAAATATTAAATAATGTATTTTCAATTTTACCTTGTCTAATAGTCTAGCTGAAGTTCTAGGAGGAGGGCATTCTACTTCATGTTTTACACAAAGATCACTGAGTAATTTATTAACTCCACTTGAAGATAATTCAGTAGGGCTAGGGAGTTTTACTGACAGAGCTTCTTCTAAAGCTGGGAACATATAAATCCTCTTGAAAGGTGGAGTAAAATCTATTTCTACTGCTTCAGTATTGCTATCGACACCTTCAGGATGATATTTTATTTTATATGCACCATAAATACTTTTTACCAGACCTGTAATAATTTAATTTAGTATAATACACTATTAATGATATTATCATTAATTTAATTTTTTTTTCTAATAATAAAACTTACCCGATAAAAGATCTTCGGTTACTTGCATAAGATCATTATAATCGGCATATGCCATATAAAATTCACAAGTAGTGAATTCAGGATTATGAGTCATATCAATTGCCTCATTACGGAATTGTCTGCCAATTTCATACACACGGTCAATACCTCCCACTACAAGCATCTGTTAATCAATTTAAATTATAAAAAAATAAAATTAATAAAAACAATGTAAAATAAAATGTGTAATAATTATAATTACTTTGTGATACAGTTCTGGTGCAACTCTCATAAACAAATCCATATTCAAATCATTATGATGTGTGACAAATGGTTTAGCAGTGGCTCCTCCGGCAATCATATTCATCATAGGTGTTTCAATTTCAAGAAATCCTAAATTATCCAAGAACCTTCTAACATAGGAGATTATTTTTGCCCTTACTATGAATTTATTACGCACATGTTCATTAATGATTAAATCCAAATAACGTTGCCTATATCGAGTCTCCTTATCTTTTAGACCATAATGTAGATGGGGTAACATGTGTAAACATGGAGTTAACAATTTTATGTTTTTAGGGAAAATAGATAATTCTCCTTTCTTGGTTTTTCCTGGGCTACCCATAACACCAATTATATCACCACGCCTCACTTTTGAGGTATCTGCAAAGAATTCTTCTTCAGTTGCATATTGCTTAGCATTTGCCATCACTTGGATTTTTACACCTTCCCCACGTAAATCGTAAAATATTAATTTAGGACCAGATTCTCGAATGGCATGAACTCTACCTATAACAAAAAAAATGCATTCATTTTATTATGGCATTAAATAACTAACATTTTTATACGAAAATTTTAAATAATATATTTTAAATACAAATGGCAGCAGTTCTCAACCTTTTTAGTTATGCAGACCACCAATTTTGAAGCTCACTAAATTAGTATACAAGTAAAAATAAAAACAAACAGACATCTATTATATATGTATGACCAATATATACAGGCTGTCCCATGAAGATATACCCCTTGAATGTCTCCAGAGATAATAAAGATATCAAATTCTGTTTTTTTATATTACTCACAGGGATGAGGACCATAAATATTTACATTTTAATTTTTTTTTTTTCTTTAAGTGAAACAATTTATAAATAAAAAGGACAACATACTTCATGTGGGGATGCAGCTACTCTTGTAGGTGAGAAGTTGGGAAGATAAATACAGATGGGAATTTAATGTATATTTCTGTAAGCAAGGATAAACCATTGCTAATGAAAAATAATTCTAAGTGTAGTTCAGATGATAGTATTGCTTTTTCAACAATATATGTCATATTTTGGTAAAATGATTACAATGATATGAAAAGAATGATTGTTTAAAAAAGATTAAAATGATAAAAATTGAACAAAAAATAAATAAAAACAATTGCAAATGACGAGCTTATTTTTAATCTTTCAATTTTTTTTAACATAAAGAACCAGGTTTTTCTTATTATCTCAAATATTTATAAGGATTTCAAAAAATGACCTTTCTAAAGTACCACCCAGAATACATTTCCTTTTCGAAAGGTTCTACATTTGATAATCAGAGTAAGCTTTCTGGTAGAAAGTGTTCACATAAAAGAAAAAAAATATTACATCTTTGTAAAACCAATACATTAATTATTCACAGGCACGTAAAAGTTTAAGGTGGGTGGAACCCACCTTAAATTTATTCTCACCCAGAGCCAAACCCTTCAAATTCAAAATATAATTATTTTTAACAAATTATCAAAAATGTGATTATGCACATTGAAATACATCTATTGTGATTACTACAAGGTAATACAATTATTATAATAATAATAATTAATTTTTATATTCGTGGATAGTCATGTGAAAAAGATAAATAATAAAGTCTTAATAAAAATACCCGTTTTATAAACAATAATAGATTAGCCCAATCTAAGGGCAGAACTAAAAATTTTACCAACAACTATTAAAAAATATCAAATTCATTATAATTTTAAAATAAAATAAAATAAACAACTTGATAAATCTAATTGAACTGCTTGAAAAGTATAAGTTTGCATTCAATGAAACCTATAGCCTAACTATTATTATAATAACTATTCCAGTATCCAGTGCTGTATGAGAAAGATCATTTTAGGTCTCAGAGGACTGAAAAATTACAAGAAGAATCAAATGACAAATTATCATTTAAATAATTTGGCTTCAATAAGCATAGAAAATTTTTTTCTAAAAACCTAGATTTACATATTTTTGCACAATTGTTTTCGCAATATCAGAAAAACAGAAAAATTATTTTACATTGAATTTTTCAACATAATTACTTATAATAGGTACATTATTATGTTCTACTTATATGACATGTAATATTTTTAAAAAATGTAAGTTTGTTTAAAAATTAGTTAATTTAAAAATCAACTATCAATATTATGTTTGATTAGTATAAATTAATTTTTATTAATATAAGTTTAGAAATTTAATCAGCTTATATTCTAAATATGTAGCTGGATTTATTTTTAGCATGAAAAATGTATTCCAAAAATGAAGATATAGGTAATTCTGTATTTATTTTTTTTTATTACTGTATTAGTAATATTAAAAAAAAAAATGTTTTAATCAACTCCCAACTTAAAGTAAATTATAAATCAATAATATTCTTTGTATGACCTAAGGGTGAATAAGGGAGAAGCTCCTTACAATAATTTCATTGGGAAAAATTATAGAAAATGATAAAATGACCAAAAATTATTGTCCCTCCCTAGTAGAAATTTTCTGGCCACATGCCCGATTCTTCACTAAACTCAGAAAATAACTTTATTTTATTATTATCTAGAAATTTTAATGAATCATACATTTATATCTGGTGAATAGTTTCTGAGTAACAGCCAGTATAAATTCTTAATTTTCCAATATTGGGTTTCACATGAATTAGTAGAATTTAATATGGCTGTTACTTAGAAACTAATTATCAGATATAAATGTGTGATGCGTTCAAATTTTCAAATTTTCAAAAATAAACTCTGCAGTAGCGGTCCAAACCTAGGGGTTATTAACCCCAAAAAGTAAAACACAATTTTTTTGGGGATAAAAACTACCTAACCTAACTAATTTTTTTTATTTAATGTACTTTATATCTATTACTATTAACTCTGCATCAATAATGTGTACAATAATTGGTTAAAGTTAAAAAATAAAATCAATGTAATTTTTGACATTGTTTTTCTCTTAAGAGAGAATCAATATCAGAATTTAGTATGTATCCCCACCATAGAGTGATAAAATACAATAAAAATGATAAAAATATTCTAAAATACCATATAAGAAAAAGACAATCAATAAAACTGTATAATAGCAATAATTGTGGGATTATTACTAAATCTCAATAGAAATATAGACGTTTATATTAAAATAGTATATTATTGACTTCAACCAGCATCTGAGGCCCAGTACCAAATTGACCATAGCCCATGGTTTGGAAACTGCTGGCATAAAGTATACACAAAAATATAAAAACACTCAACTTAAATATTATCGTTTCATAAGATATATAAATAAACTTTTTAATAACAATATTAAGGTTAGGTTAGGTTCCACACCATATTTATAAAATTAGTTATTATTAAATGTCAACAATTTTCTTTTTTAATTCCTAACAAAATGTACTAGATTGCATTCTTTACTATTAATATTTTCAATATTGACGAAAATGAGGGGGCTTGAGAGGTCTAAGAACACTCAAAACATAAACAGAGATATTAACTCAAGGCTCGAACTTAATTCGAGGCTCAACTCGAATTAATCAGATAAAATTCTAAGTGAAGTAAAGAATATATTTGCTTTATTAAGATATATATTATTTTTTTTGTCTATAAAAATCTTTTCATCTAGAAATCTTGCTCCAATCACAACATGACAAAAGACCTTTTTTTTGTGGCATTTTGGCTCTAGTTAGTACATAGTTTTTAAAAATACCATTTTTTAGAAATGCTCATTAATATTCTAGATAATGAGGAAAGCTGATTCTTTAGTTAGAAAAAGTATTAAAAGATTAAAAGTAAAGTCGTCATTAGCAACCATTTTTATTTATAATTTTGTTATTTTCAAGTTTTAATTATTAAATTTATTTTAACAATCTTCGTTGTGAATACACATAGTGTTAAAAAAAAGCAATACTTTTAACCAAGCTCTCCTCAGAATAATTTTTCTCTATATCATCCTTTTCAATCATATATGATTAATCACCATATATATATATAAATATAAAACATACCCGCAACACTATACTGTTCATCATGTAAAATTTGTGTTTCAGCCAAAGTATTAAACTTTTCAATGAACTCTTCCAGAGATATAGTTACATTGAATTTGTGTGGATAAGGTTCTTCTCCGTTTTTTTTCATCTGGGCAATAGCTTGTAAACGTAAACTGAAGAATTCCTAAAAAATTATTATTTTTAATTAATTATAATTATGTTTAATAACATTGTGCTATATTTTCACATTAGGGCTGATATCTGCAGATTTAGTAGCATCAGATACATCGTTTTCTTTTTTTACAGCCGATTGTTTTTTTTGAACAGTTGCAGAAGCTTTTTTTTCCAATTTCTCTTTAGCTTTTTGTTCTGCTTTCAACCTCCGTTTTAACTCACTAAATAATAAATAAATATATATATATACTGAAGTTATAGATATTTAAGCTGAACAGAGAATGAACTTAAATATTTTCATTAATATCATAAAATATAGAAATTGAATAAAATGAATCATTATTATATAATAGAACAGTAAATGATTATTAATAAAAGGTATAATATTTAATTAAAAAATAGTGTACAGTATATCTTGTTTATATTTTAAGTTTTTATTTTTTACATTATTACATAAATTATATTAGGTATATTATACCATCATTATGTTAAATAGGGATAAAACTTATTTTTTAGGTAAGTCATTAAATCAAACAGAATGAAAATTAATGTCATGTTACAAGTTGTCTGAATATTAAATTTATATGTGTTGTTTTGATTATTTCAATAGTTTTTTTTATGTTTAATTTTATGTTTTTAATCTATAACGAAAAACCATATGTTTTTTCCTTATTAATTTTAATTAATTTTGCCTTTGTATTCATCAATTTATTGATTATTAATTTGTTTTGATTAGCATATCTACTTATTGCATTGATCATCACTGGACATATGGCAATCAAGTGTAGTTAAAAATTTAAGAATCCTATTATGAGATTTAAAAGTGCTTTTTTATGATTAATTAAATAATTTTTTTTAAATGCTTCTTATTAGTACTTCTTTATTTATAAAATATTTCTAAGTGCTCATTTCAGCACTCAAAGTACTTATTAAGATTTATAAAGGCTATAAATAAAAAGTAATATAAAAATATTAAGCACTTTTTTTGTTAACCCTGTATATAATCAATAACTATTCCATAAACGGATATCGTCAAACAACTGTTTAAAACACAAGCATAATAAATCCATTCTACTTTTGATTCTATACAAATTTAACTATTTATATCTATATATTAATGTGATAAATCTATATTATTTTTGATTTTAAAAATCTAACTATTAAGAAATCAAGTTTCATTAATTTAATGAATAACTAAAAATTGTTTTGGTCAAAGTTTATTACTAGACCACATAAAATTAAATAATGATTTGGTATTATTTTAATTTTTATAGTATAATTTTCTTTTTTTTGTGCATTCTTTCTGATACATTATGATCTTTGTGTCTGACACAATGCCTATATCAATCTTGTCTGAAATATTAAATTTTTTACACATACCCTCATAAACACATTTATAATTGTATATAGTTTTAAATTATAAATCTAACTAACATTAGTTTATTGTCTGTCTAATCTTATTTAAATAATGAGACTAACCTAACCTCAAGGCTTAAATCAAGGGATGATATTACCCGATACGTCACATGTATTTTACATGCAAGTAAACATTTTATAAATCTAAAACATGTACTATTGCAAGCTTTATACATACTTCTTAGATAATGGAACATCGGAACCTTCCATTTTTAACGAATTTCGACTTGGAAACTGAAATATAATAATTAATAAATATAATAGAAAAGTTAACCAAGAAACTAAACACTCATGGATTTAAAAATGGTGGTGAACGTCGTTGTAGAGAACAATGAATATAGTGAATATGGACACAGGACAGTATGGTATCTCTATTACACGACACTATGGTAAACCACATTTTATACCTACTTTTTCTAATAACCTTATTTTCCAACCTATACCAATTTGTTTATTGATAAGAATTGTCATATGAACCACGGTTACATAATATCTATAACCGTGATAAAAACCCACAAATATAGATAATATACACGAATTAAAATAATATATATATAAGTTCATTATTTAAAACTGTGTATAAACCATGGACCTTGATAGGTATATACTGGAATATAGAAAGACTATATAATAATATATTATATAGGCTCCCTAGTTAATACCATAGACAAGATCTTGACAATATGCGTAATATTATATTATGTCTATGATATATACCACATACGGAACCATGAAGAATCTCATGAGACGGGTCGCTAGGTACCACAGTTTTACCACTTACAAAATTGTGCATAGGAACTACGTAATAATGAAAAAACCAACATAACATTTATTGTAAACACAATTTTATACAATAGGCTTAATACCAGTTTTACCATTCTACACAATTTTCTATTGGACAATATTCTATGTCTACCAGGTTCTATTGAATATTAATAATTTACCATAAAATTAAATATTAATGGTATCACATATCAGAGTGAATGATCAAATATTGCCTATGTTATTGGTCCAAAATTTCAATTGACCTAATTTCAAAGTATAAATTTTGATATATTAATGTGTGGAAATATTTACTGCAGTACTACCTAATTAGAAGACTATTATAATAGTTATTTTTTCATTTGCATGTGTACAAGAGAATATAC